GGCTCTTCTGTACACAGAGGGGGGTGGGGGTGGGGAACAAGCTGCCCAGCCCTGTGGTTCCACAGTTACACACACACACACACCCTGGACAGGACACCAGTCACAGCAGGACTTTGGACTGTGGAAGGAAACCCACACAAACGCATGTCAACGTAGATAATTATTTAATACTCTTAACACTTAAAAGAATAAAGAGAGAGCTGTGCCCTGTATTAAAATCAATTCTAGGTGCTTTATTGGCATGGCCGATGGATGAGTATTATCAATGTTTCCAAAGCAAAACAAATACAATTCACATAAAATAAAAATCTATAGACATTTACAATAAAGACACAATCATAAAATATTTACATATAGATCTATGGAGCATTATTGGGAGACAGGCTCACTGTTCCTCAGGCTGGGACAGGAGATCACGCACTGTATTATTATTGAGAGACAGGCTCACTGTCTGTTCTTCAGGCTGGGACAGGAGATCACACATTGTATTATTATTATACAGCTGTGGTCACTGAGCCTGTCCTCTCTGGACAGCCAGGTCTGCCTGTGTCCAGTGTCTCTGTCCAGGCTGTGGGCACTGAGCCTGTACTTCGTCAGGGTCTGTTTCTGTTTGTTGTTTCTTATCTTGGTCAAATATTCGGCTAGTGTGTATTGTCTGTTTAGGGTTCTGTAGCATTCCAGTTTATGTTGTTGTTTGTGTGTGTGTGTCCCAGTGTGTGAGATATTGCTGTTTGATCTGTGCTGTGATGTGGTGGAGTCTGGGTTGTGGTGCTCTCACAGTGCTGTCCTGAGGCTGCTGTTGTGTTGTGTATTGTGCTGTGATGTGGTGGAGTCTGAGTTGTGGTGCTCTCACAGTGCTGTCCTGAGGCTGCTGTTGTGTTGTGTATTGTGCTGTGATGTGGTGGAGTCTGAGTTGTGGTGCTCTAGCCTCAGGACCAGCTGGCTCAGGGGGCTCTGTTTTGGGCTCAGCTCTTGGCTCAGCAGGGCTTTGTTGTGATTGGAGTTGGTCGCTGTTTTGTAGGTGTAGCCAATACTTTAATACTCTCTTCTGTATGTGCCCTATAGCTGCCTCTCGTTTGTGACCGGTCTTGTGTCCTCTGTCCAGGAAGGCACCACTTGTCTAACAGGTGCAGCTCTCCTGCGCAGAATCAAAAGCGTCCGATGTCTGAGAAACAGTCTGAGGGTCTTGGAAACAGATACAGAGGCCTGTGTGGTATCAATTTTTACACACTTGTCTATCTCATCCTCACATGTTTTTTTTGGGGGGGCTTTTCTGACCTGAATTCTGCCTGATGATTCATTTCAGGGAGGCTGAAGAGTAAACCAGCACACAGGCCAGCAGAGACACAGCAACAGAAACAAGACAGGAAACTGTCAGTGCGAACCTGTTGTCAAGTTCTCCACCTCCCCCCCAGCCCCCTCTCCTCCCGAGCCCAGTGTGACTATCACAGGCCTGAGAGAGTAAATATAGAGAGCGGCTGAGCTCATGGAAACATCTGCGGTCATCGTGCTGAACACCGCTCTGAAGCTCTTGTGCGAGGGTGAGATCAGGCTGCGGTCAGTTCTGCTGGCTGGTGCACACAGGCTGCACTGAGCCCTTGATGTGCTCGCTGGGGCACAGTCAAGGGCTCGTTAGCTTGGATCAGCAAAGGCATCACACAGGAAACTTCGAGAACTTTAATCTGTGTTTGGCTGCTTTCTTGCTCACTGCTTATCTTACTTGTTGTTCTGTATGGTGTAGGTCTTTTTTTTTAACAAACAGCCATATCACCCTGCAGCTCCCAGCTGGCAGCCCCACTGGAGCCCAGCAGGTGTGAGCCTGGCCCGTACCTGGAGGGGAGACTCCTGGGAGAGCTGAGGCTGCTGCTGGGAGAGGTGTGAGTGGGGCCAGCAGGGGGCGCTCTCACCCTGCGGTCTGTGGGGGTCCTGATGCCCCAGTATAGTGACGGGGGACACTGGACTGTAAACAGGCACCAATTAATCAAATCAATGGAGCAAAACAACCAGACATACAGAAAAATGATCAAGCTAACAGAAATCACAGTTTCACAGGGTTCTTGTGTAAATGGACAGTTCAATCCAGTTTAACTAGTTCTCCACTGGACGTCTTGATAAAAAAACTTTTTTATGGGTTGTTACACATTTATCAATTTTGATTTCCAGTAGTCAACCTGATTATGTTTTTCAGTCTGCTAAGTGCTCCTTGTGTATTTTGTGTACTTGACTGTCACGCATGTCTCCCATGCTTGATCTCGGCATATGTAGTGGGCTGTGTGTTGTGGCCACCTCTCTTCTTGTGCTTCGTGTTTTGCCTGCTGATCTCTATAGTGGCGTACTGCAGTCCTGCCTCCTCTTCCTGTAAAGACACAGACACACAGCACAGCTGCTGGTGAGGATGAGTCTGAACACACACACACACACACACAGAGCTAATTTCATCTGTGACCCTCCTGACACACGCTGATAAGACTGGCCAAATTGTTTCAGTCAAAATTAAAACTGCAGAAAAACACTTAGCGGCCCATAAAAATTGCCATATCTTCACAAATACAATAATTACTAATAACAGCTGGATCACACACATTCACTCATGGTCTTTAAGTTGTGTCTGTTGAAACGAGATATGATCTGAGAATGTGTTATATCACAGACAGAGGCAGACACTCCAGGTGATGAGACACAGTGTCCTGTCTGAAATAAAAATCGGATCGGTACCTGACTGTCCTGTCTCTCGCTGTGTCCACCAGTCTGGGGGCGACTCTCAGAGCTTCTGCTGCCTGGTTTCAAAGAGGAAACACAGTTATACTCCGCTGTGACCCCCAGAAATGACAATGACTGTACTACGTTTATCACAACACATTACTTAGTACCCTGAGAACCTACTGTACGGAGAACCAGAGTTAAAAAAATGATGTCTTCCCACACAAAAGGTGACCAGAAAAAAAGGAAATAAATATTTTGCCCTACCCTACGGCACCGTAAAAGACGTGTTTCTTTATCTTAGACAGGCAGACGAGGTGTATAAACACAGCTGTAGGATGTTCAGTAAGTACCGCTGTTCTGACGCAAATACTAAAAGCATTGTTATGCAAAAGAGTCAGAAATAAGACATTCCGGTTTAGGACATGAAAATCTCTGCCCACTTAAAGTTAGAATTAAACCGATACTTTTGTTTTTCAGTCCTTTTCTCCTGTTTTTCTTATTGAGTTAAACGGACTGACCAGCTGCTCACAGCCATACAAGACTAGGGAGCCCAACTGAATTATACGTCATCAATATCGCTGAAACAGCAGCACAATGCAAGATGTCAGAGTATCTCGGTTCTTTAGCCTTCCCACGTTTACATGTTTGAATGTCTCGCGAACGTACAGCAGGTTTTCCGCAGACTGTATTTCTGTTTTCACTAATAAAGAAAAACACAGCCGTGTGGGCAGTCTTACCTCTTCTAAGGGAAACGCAGGAGAAAACGCAGACGGAGGACACGATGACACAGACCACACTCACAGAGGGCAGAAGAGTCCAGCACGTCAGGCAGGGACTGGGACTGACCACTGTCCGGTCTGGTTCCTCTACAGGACCACAGATAGAGCAGGTGAGAGGCTAATTCACAACATCTTCACTGCTGCTGGACAGCCTTTCTGAAGTAACAGCTCAGACATGAAGAATCAGGGACTGGGACTGACCACTGTCCGGTCAGGTTCTTCCAAGGAGGAGTTTTCTGCCACTGGTACTGCTGCTGAACCTGCAGGCGGACACAATGTCCGCATCAGTGACAGGACAGTGAGGCTCCAGGCTGCTGGCCTGAGAGCAGGGTGACCTCTGCTCCCAGCTCCTCGACCTCACAGCCGACTGGCCTGGGCCGGACAGGGGCGGCCATGGACTGGTCAGCAGGGGCATCAGGTCCTCTCCAGCCTGAGCCACGCAGACGGGAGGGCTGGAGTGTGGAGGAGGAGGGGGTGCGGTTCTTTTTTCCCATCAGCATCGTTTCAGTGAGGTCACAAAGCTGGGGTTCATCAATCGTGAAACTTTTTTAAAAAAGAATCCTTGTTTTCATCTGTGATATAAAACTCGGTATCGTTGAACATCGAACTTTGTGCTGCATCCTGTGGGGGACGAAACGACTCTCACAGACATTTTGGAAGTGTTTACTGTACAGCGTTGTAATAAAGCACAGTAAAAATGGGGTAACGACCTAGCACTTAGCAGGTGTGGAAAAGGAAAGCAGCCGGTGTCGGGTACGAACATGGCAACACCGGAACCGGTACCGAACAAGACTGCAGTGTTGAACAGTGAAGGAGTGGGACCCCAGGGTGTCTCTGCTGTGTAGGGGAGCGGGTGCACAGACTGGAACTGCTCGCGTGTTAGTGTGCGTGAGGGGTTATCGGGGTGTCGGGCGGTGGCTGGGGCTCACCGGGGAAGACGAGCTGCGTCCCGTTTCCGAAGC